ACAAAAAAAAACTTTCTCAAAAACCTGGTGCGAGCGGCAAGGGTAAGAGAAAGAGCATGGAGGTCGAAGAGGGAGTTTTTTTTTTTTTTAATTAAAATCTATTTATATTTATCTTGTTTATATTTTAGTTATATAAAAAAATCTATAATAATTATTATTATTATTTTATTTTTATATATTTTTTTTCACTTTTATAATATTATTAAAAACTATTTATACTTATATTATTATATTTATTAAATTTATTAATAAAAATAATTTTTATATACTAAGTAAACTTGTTTCTTATAATGAATTCTATTTATGATAAAATTTTTATTAAATTTAAACAATCTTTATTATTAAATTTAACAATTTTTTTTTGAACAAAAATTTTAACACCTATTTGATTTTTATAATTACTATTTTAACAAGTAATTTGATATTATTAAATTTTGTTTAATATATATTAAATTAGTTGAATTAAATTTCATAAATTTTTATTTAATATTTAAATTTTTTCTTTAATAAAATGTTTAATCTCTAAAATTATTTAATCAAAAATAGTTTTTATGTATAAATCCTTTTATTTTATTAATAACATTAGTTTTTACATATTAAGAAAACTTGTTTCTTATAATAAATTTTACTTATGATAAAATTTTTATTATTATATTTAATGGAAATATGAAATAAGTAAAAGAAAAATTAAAAGTTATGAAATAAATACAGTAATATAGAATATAAATTAATTATGACTTTTTAGATTAAACACAAAATATTTTTATATATAATTTTTTTTAAATAAAAAATAACTTTTTTTATTTATTATAATTATATCTAAAGTTAAACATTAAATTAATCAATTACATCTCGAAAAATTTTTTTTTTTATTTTTTACAGAAACTGTTCTAATTGAGAAAAAAAATTAAAGGATTTTTTTTTTCTATGTATTATACGTACAGTATATAAAAATCACAAAAAATCAATAAAATTACGTTTTGGTGACGAAATTTTTAATTTTAAATATTGCACCAAACCATTAATGTACAGACGCCAATCAATTTTTACAATAAAATATAGTAAAAAAATTTATTACTTAAAAATCTTTACAACCTTACTTGTTATTCTCGAAGTGTTAGTTCGTCATGAGTGGACAAAATATACCTCGAGTTGCTACTTTTAATATTCGTTTTGATGGTCACAAAAGTCCGCCTGTTTCAGAGAATGAAAACATCGTGGTCCCAAGCGCGTTTGATGGTGAACAACCCTGGTATGTTAGAAGAAAAAAAGTCGCTGATGCTATTCTTTTTCACAGGGTGGATATTATCGGTCTACAGGTATGAAAAATTTGGATGATTATAGTACAAAATTAAAAGTAACAAACGTGAAATCATTATTTTAGGAAGTTCTTTATAATCAAGTCAAAGATCTGGAAGTACTGCTTGGAGAAGATTGGCAATGGACTGGTGTGGGACGAGATGATGGAAAGATTAAGGGTATGGAATCACCTAAAATCGATTTATCTTCAACTTAAAACTAAATTACCATTACGTGTTGGTTTATCCAGGAGAGTTTGTACCAATCTTTTACAAGTAAAGTATTTGTAAACCTTCACTTGTGTAACATAATTGCATGTTTATTGCTAATAATCATTTTGTTTAAATTTAGAAAACGGTTCAAGCTTCTGGAATCGAAAAATCTTTGGCTCTCCAACGTTTGTTAAATATTCATTAATGTAATTGTCGATATACTTATGTAAAATTATTTCCATCTGTTGTTTTTTCAGACTCCAGATGTTCCTAGCAAAGGTTGGGACGCAAACTTACCTCGTAAGTAATTTATTGTAAATTTCCAGAGGATAATTTATTATTTAATCACACTAAAATTTAATAATGTGGAAGGAATCGTTACCCAAGCAAGGTTTGAAATACATTTTCATCAAAACTCATCTTCTTAAATTGTATATTAATTTTTTATGCCATCTATAACTGATTGTTTTTTAAATTAATTAGGCTCTGCACCAGATTGAAATAGCCTAGGCTAGGGCTCTAACCACTATTGAAAATGAAGTGTTAATTAGGTTTAATTAAAATGAAGTACAATTTAGTCTATATATTCAAATACAAAAAAAATTTTGATTAAGAAAGTTAGATATATATCTCTTAGCTTATCATGTTATCTAATCACTATAGATATGCTTCTAATAATTATTGTAGTACCAACTGGATGATTATTACACCACAACACCTTTTTTGGAAATTATAATCTTAACACTTACTGGATTAGTATGTGAAACAGCTTCAATAACAGATTATGGTGCTAGATACCATATAGTTCTATTCAATTATCTTCATTTATTAAACTGGTATATTGTGATCTAACTTGTGAAGTGCTAACCACTGCACTATAAACCCACAGGTCAATTAAATTAGAATATTTAAAAATATTATTATAGAAAAAGCTTATTTTTATAGCAACATTGTTTATAATATTTTATATAGATTTTTAAAAAAAATTATTTAACAAAAAAGAATCAATACAAAAGATTAATTGTTTAATATTATTTAAAATAATAACACTATTAATCTATTAAATATTTTATTTATTAATTGGATAATTATTTTCGAAGGTGAACCGGAAATTTTCTGGTATGATCCTACGATTTATATTATATATGTATTTTTAAAAGTTGGATCCGAAAAAATCATATCTAGCATTTTTGTCGCCTTCAAAAATAATTACCCAATTGTTTAAAAACATTAAGTTTGCAATAATTTGTAAATAATTAATACTTATCTATAAAAATGTTATAAAGCAATAGTTAAGAAATCCGTAGAAAAAGTTTATTTTATACTGTATTAATAAATTTATTTTTATTATTAAAATATCTATTAATAAGTTAAATATTTTTAACACTTTAAATTAATTATATAAATTTAATAAAAGTTTCATTATTAAAGAAAAATAATACAAAATTTTTAAAAACAACATACTTTTAAATATATGTAAATTTATGATACGTTGGTTTTAAAAATCATATCTGCTATAACTGGACGATGATCACTAATATACATTCCATCATCATAACGGTTTGACATAACACCGTGGTTCGATA